AGGAATTTTTCTTCAAATGTTTGGCGTGTTCTGTTCCTGAAAGATTTACTAATATTCTGGAGATTTTTTTCAAGTTCTTCGGCCTTTTCCTTAGGGAAATTTTGTTTCTTATTTGCTGCTAAAAAATGGCGTCTGATTCAGTCAATGACTTTGATGGAACTAAATGAAAACGTGATAAATTATTGTCTGATATTTACAGGCTCCCGCTAGACGGCGTACTCGAGCGTTGCGATCGCGAATGCAAACCACATGAAACACAATTCGTCCATGAGATGACCAGATTGCTTGCAGAGTCCCAGTGGGCGTAATGGACTTCGTATGGATGATTTTGAAACTTTTTTTTTTCTATAGATAGATAGTCGTATAAAATTAAGCACAAGTGGCCCTTAAGGTTAAAATTAGTCTTAAAACTCCTGGTTTACTACTTTCGACTTATATTTACTCCTTAGCTTCAAAAAGTGCACCATTAAATACATTATTATTATGCTTGAGATGGTTGCAATAAAACGTGTTCATTTAATTTAACTTTCAATGAAACAAACAAAAAATGATTTGAAGACTCTGCAAGCATGTTATCATGTGACTCAAAAAATTACCAACAGTGATATAACAGTGATTTTTACACAAATATAGCCAAATGAAGATAACACTCAAAAGATGGCAAATCGTACGCTTCATTTATGTTGTGATGCTAATTTTCCCAAATTTATTTACGGCTCACGATCTTTCAAAATTTACAAGTTAGGAAACACTCTTATGAATGGTAAATTTACGTGAAAATTTGAATACAACCTGTACAATTGAGATTTGGTTCATTTATTTGTTTTGTTCCCAAAGCAAATGATTGCTTTTGGTGTTCTAAAAATTTATTGTTGAGAGTTGGTCATAATACTACTGAGTTCAAGTATTTTACGAGTTTAATGTGATATATGAGTAATTTACTGTTATAATTTATTTGAGAAGCATCATTTGAGCTAATATACTATTTCATTGAGTTATTTTCACTAAATTATACATGTTAAGTGTTTATCGTTAATTAAACAAACTCATTGAACAAAAAACGAATTTATTGATAGACACTTAAATGAAAATATGAGACAATCTTATTGCTAGTAAACTTGATAAGTAACATGAGATGCTAAATGTGATGAATCGGAATTATATATTGATCGTTGTCGTCTTTTAGAACAGATAACATTTGCAAGTTCTGAGAAAGAAGATTCTGGAGAGAATGCTTTGTTAAGAAATACGTTTTTACTTTATCCTGAAATTCAACTTCCAGTTTTTAATGGAGATATCAGAAACTGCACGTGAAAGCAAGCAATGTGAAAGCAAGCATTGCTGAGAAGTTGATTAAAAGTTTTCCTCCAGGTGGAGATAAGTATAAAAAAGCTATAAATCAACTTCAAAGTAGATTTGGAAAAGATGAGCTATTGATTCAAGTTTATGTGATATATAAATTTACACTTGTTCTTCAGAAAGATTGCAATCATAGAAAATCTCTGAGAGGGCTTTATGATTTCGTAAAGACTAAATTACGTGCATTGGAGACCTTAGGCATATCTAGAGATAACCATGCATCCATATTGTTCCTCATGATAATGAGAAAAGAAGAATCTGTGAAAGTTTATGTCAATAATGTGTATTTTTTGTAATAAAATATTTACGTTGTAACCAGTTTTATTGTGATTAGTATTTAGAGTTAAAATCAGGAATTTTTGTAGGCTTTTGATTTGTAATTTAATTTTAAAATATATTAATTTCAAAAGTATGATCACACTAAGTTGATTATATTTACCAATTTTATTAAATTTAGTCTAGATAATTGACCAAATGTTGAAAATTTTTATCAGTCTATTTATTCGTGAAATCAAATAGGCAATCAATAAAAATCATCCTATGAGTGATTTTTACTGATTAAACTTAAACTGTAAATTATTCTTGTTATGTTCATATTATTAACTAAAAGTGAATTTATGATTAAAAAAATACAAAAGCAAATTGTACCACATTTATGTTTGAAAAGCAAATTTTGATTTCAAAAATCTAGTAATTTGGACGATTTTCTTTTTCATTGATTGAGTAGATAGGAGTCTGAAGAATTTTATAAATCATCTTAAATAATCGATTTCCTTAAAGTTTTATATGAAGAAAACGGGCATATAAGTATAACTGACAATATATATAAGTATACGGGCATATTCTCCAGTATAACCAAAAAGTTTTTAAATCGGTTTTTACACTTTTACATCTATTGAGGACATAAAAATGTAAAATACTAAATTGCAGAGTTCGTATATGAACGATATACAAAAGGCATGTCCGTTACGCGTCATCCAGAAGATCAGGAATAATTCCTGTAGTTGTCTATGAGACGTCCATGGCTGGATAAGCAATGGATCAAATTATCGTTTGAAATGGATCAAAACGTTTCTGTTAGGCGATATTTTCAAATAGATAATTTTGTTTTTAATAAAAGAATTAAATTATGTAATTTTTGAGCTAAAATCTGTTGTATTTCATAGGATATTTATGATATTAAGTAATCTTGGTGAGTTTCGTGAAAATTTGTTTTAGTTATTTATCGATGCACTGTTAAAAATGTGACATGGTTGCTATTTAGAAAGAACTCGCTTTTTTTTTGTAGTCCCGATTTGGCTTCTATTTACTTGTTTATTATTGTTGGATCCTGTTGC